GATGGATCTTGGTCAAAGTTGCCTAGAAAGATGAAGGTGACACATTGGACCCAGGATCCCTCCCTCCCACCCCAGTATTGTGCTCTTTACATTTATAGCCTTCCTACAGTGCTTCTGTCTTCTAAGAAAATTTAATTTGCCATGATCTTGAGGATATATTTTTAGGCCTCATAAAGTTTATACTTCCTAATTAAATTTGACTTGTTAATAAAGCCCAGGAGGAATATAGGACAGAGTAACACTATGGGTCTAAGGTGATAGAACAGTGCTTCTTGATTTTGTGTATCCCTGTACATCTGTGACAAGCAGTAGTAAGTGTTTTAGGAAGAATCAACATTGGATGGCTTAGTCTTGACAACTTAATCCATAAAGGCATTCTTACATTGGCACGGAGTGCACCTCTGGGTTTTCTCTATAGATGAAGGATTGAGTGGCTGTTCATTTTCTGCCCAGGTTACATTTTGCCAAAGTCTATTCTGATAAGCACCATCGATCATTTGTAGTGTGAACTTGGCTCTGTGGCTTCCTGGAATCAGCCTGGCACAGTCCCCACTGCCTTTTCAGGAGCCCATTCATTCCTTCAGTGAGACGGATGGTGCTGGTATAAGTGCTTCATAAACCACACATCACCACATAGCCCCTGTTGCACTTTAATTCTTTTATCCAGCCTTTTTTTGCCAACTAATACCTACAGCATCCCAGCCGTTCTCCTGGGTGTGGGGACTACAGAGATGACTTGGGTGAATCAGAAGGAAGCAAAAATGTAATGAGGCCTGGAGTCCAGATGTGTGAAGAGCTGGACAGTTGGCTCCTAGCAATCTATATTCGGCCCCTGCCATGTTTAGTTCCTAGAGGTGATAGCAATAAGATGTATCAAGTGCTTGCTTGAGCAGAGCTTATGTTTTAAAGGGCAAAATTCCAGTGCTGAGGCTGAAGGGATGTAATTAGCACCCCCATTCTGAGTTCAGGAAGATTAAGCCAGGCAGAGACTTCCAGTCTCCTGAGGTGGAGATTTAGAATAAACTCCTGGTGGCAAAGGCTGGATTTGGCTGTTTCAAGTCTCCCCTGAGGATGGGATTGGAAAGAAGGCCTGAATGAAGGGATGGAGAGCCTGGTGGCTACAGAAGGAAAGAACATTCTCGGAGAGGAAAGAAAAGGTGGAAAAGCCCTGAAGCAGGAGCATGCTTAGGATGTTTAAGAAACAGCCACACTAACAATGTGGCCAAGGTATGGCAGGAGGGAAAGAGTCACGAGCTGGGAATTTCTCCTTCAGAGATGTGCTGGGGCTGACCAGGTTTAGGCAAGTCTTTAGTGTACACAAGCAGCCATTTTCACTTTTTCCTGGAGGAACGGAAGGCAAAGAGGCCACTCAAAAGTGCTTTTTTTTTAATCAACAGCTTTTTTTTTGAGCTATAATTCATGTACTATACAATTCACCCATTTAAAGTTCATGATTCAGTGAAATTTGGTACATTCACAGAGGTGTGCATCTATCACCTTAGTCAATTTTAGGACATTTTCATTATCCCAAAAGAAAGCTCTTACCCATCAGCAAACCTTCACAGTCTCCCCACTCCCCTCCCCCACCCCCTGGCTGCCACTGATCTGCTCTCTGTCTCTCATTTGCCTGTTCTGGACATTTCATATCAATGGAGTCTTATGCTGTGCAACCTTTTTATGTCTCACTTCTTTCACTCAGCATCCTGTTTTCAAGGTTTCATCCACATCGTAGTAGGTGTCAGTGCTTTGCTCCTTTTGTGGCTGCATAGTATTCTATTGTGTGGATAGGCCACATTTTGGTTGTCCATTCAAAATGTGATTTTCCAATCTGTTGGTGGACACACTGGCAGATTGGGAGCCTAGGTGAGCTTTGCGCATAGGGTTGTTTTTTGTTTTTTTGTTCTTTTGTTTTTTGCAGTTTTTGGCCAGGGCAGGGTTTGAACCCACCACCGCCAGCATATGGGGCCGGTGCCCTACTCCTTTGAGCCATAGGTGTCACCCAGTTAGGGTGGTAATCTTGAAGAGAGAGGAAGAGTGGGAGCCTTGGGTACAGCATGGTCACTGCAAGGTCACTCTGGGGGGAAGGGATGAAAGTGGGGAGTGGGAGAGGAGGACAGGGCTAGGAAGGCTTCCTAGGAGGGGACCTTTGGGTGGACCTTAAAGGAGAAGTTTGCCCAGCTGATAGGGGCACTGGAGCACAGGCCACCCACAGAGAAGAAATAGCTTGTGCAAAAGCCCAGGCTGGGAGGGGGTGTGGCCTGCATGCATCAGTGCATTGTGCTTGGTGGGGAGAGGCAGTTGCAGGTTGGATGGAAGTGTGGGACTCAGACCTGCAAAAGGCTCTGCTGAAGCCCATTCTGCACATCTGTCTGGGATAGGGAAGCAGGTTCAGCTGGCAGCAGTAGGGGATGAGAGCAAGGCTTTGCCACCTGCATCCTCTGGGTTTACTCCCTGCCCACTCCTGCCACTTGCTGTCTTTGCTCTAGGGAGCTTCCATCAGCCCTCAGAGCCTCAGGCTCCCATTCTATGAGAGGGCAAAGTCTCTCCAGATGCTTCTAGACTTGTCATGAGGGATTCTGAGATTCTGCATGCCCAGGGCCAGGCAGGTGCTCCATATACCATAACAGCTATTACCTATGCAGGTTGGCAGCTCCACAACTTGGGAAATGGATAAGCCTATTCTTCTTTTCTTTCAGGAATTGACTTTAAGATTAGGACCATAGAGCTCGATGGCAAAAGAATTAAACTACAGATATGGTAAGAGTCATTGTTGTTTGTCACCGGGGAAGTACTTCAAGCCAGAAGTCCCCATCAGGTTCCTCCTTTCCACTCTCCCTGTGACACAGCCTCTATCTCTTAGTCCCCAGCCCTGACACATGGGGCTTTCTTCAGAAGCCCCTTGAGTTTCAGACCTGGCCCAAGGAGCTGTGCTCTGTTGGCTGTGGGAGCCTAGGATCTGTGTGTCATCACCTACTAGGGACAGAACTACCAAGTCGCTGTTAGTTCAGCATTTGGTGTGGGCAAAGCTTGAGTCTGCACCTCAGAGTGGCCTGCTTCTATTGAACTTGGAGAGAGCCCTCTGTGCCAGATGGCAGTAAAGGCTACTAGACGGTGAGATGCTTGGCAGGGAGTTTCCTTTTGAGCCTGTCAGCCCACTAAGAAGTGTGACGGTCTGACATCGCTTCCCCTTTCTCTTCTGGCGAAGGTCAGGCCTCCCTGGCATATAGACCTGAAACCCCCTGAATCAAAATTAAGCTGAGGCCAAATCGAGAAACCTGTTTCTATTTCTCAGACCTGAGGGTGACTTCTTTTGCTATATAAAACGAGGAAAATGGTGAGACTCCAAGTCACTGCCACTGACGCTGACTCTGGTCTCTAGCCCATGGCATGGGGTGCTGAATTTAAGTGTCCTGGTATGTGGAAACCCACCCTGTATCCAGGTCACTTGCATAGAATCACTAGCCCTGAGCAAAACATAGAGGAGAAGTCTTATTTAAGTGTGTGGTGCAGTCTGACATATCAGGCAAGCACCTCTGGGGTGGGAGTGGCATGCCACTGCCCTCCTCTGCAGCATTACCCTCCCTCAAGTCTCAGAGCGCGAGCCATCGTCCTGGCTTTGCTGGTACTGTGGGCACCTCATTTGTACCCTTAACCGCAAGTGATACTCATCTCTTCGTCTGTCTTCATAGCTGAAATCTGGGTGAAATTTAACACCATGTCACTCCTACAAACATTGGTAGTAAGTCAGTCTCTGGCCACCTTGTAAGTTATGAGCTCTGGAAATGTGTCCATTTCCAACATCTTCACACCACAGCAACCTTTGTTCCCAAGTCCAAAGTGACACTGTACCAGCACGCAGGAGGTACACCTGTCTTCTGCTTCTGCTCCTACCAATCTTCATGGAGTTGGTGACTCACAACTCTTCTAAGACAAGTAGGACCTTGGTTAAGATTAAAATGACTGTTCTTAACCACCAATGTCAGCTGCTACTGGTAACAGAAAATCAACTTAGCACCAAGTGTAGCATTTTTGTACAGTCTAGAAATACAGAGCATTCCTGGGGTATGTAGGGCTGCAAGAGAAGCCCTGGGCTCAGAGACAAAACACATGGGTCTTTCCCTTGCTCTGCCACTGAGCAGTTAGGCCACCTTTTCTGATGGGATGAGGGGAGTGCCATGGCTTCATAGCTCACAGCAACCTAAGACTCTTGGGCTCAAGTGATCCTCTTGCCTCAGCCTCCTGAGTAGCTGGGACAGGCGCCTGCCACAGCACCAAGCTAGTTTTTCTGTTTTTAGTAGAAATAGGTCTTGCTTTTGCTCAGGCTGATCTCAAACTCCTGAACTCAAAGGATCCATCCACTTCAGCCTCCCAGAGTGCTAGGATTACAGGCATGAGCCACCACACCCGACACATTTAGGCCACCTTTAAACCAACCACTGAGTATCCTCTGTGCCAGGAGCTAGGCTGGGCATGTTTGCATTACCCAGGCATCACTACCTGGGTAATAAATACTGCTCCCCATCACCCAAACCAAGGTAGCGAGCCTGAAAATGCTCCCTGAGTCCCAGCCCCTCCCAACAGCAAGGGCCATATTCTTGTGCCACATGACTGGCTTTTTTATGGCTCAGAAACTCTGGAGAAAATGCCCTGGAAGCAAAGGTACAGAAGAGGAGACCCTCTTCAGGCGGCTCCCCACATCCCAGCAGAGAACCATCAAAGGATCTTACCCCTTCCAAGCCACAGTTTTTCCTTCTGAGTAGTAACAGGGAGATTATAAGGTGCTGCCTCAGGCTCAGCGTCTGTGGCTCAAGTGGCTAAGGCGCCAGCCACATACACCTAAGGTGGCGGGTTTGAATCCAG